TTTTAGAGGAGGAAAATCCATAGGCATGCCACCCGTAGGCATTTCCTCCATAACACGCACAGACATTTCCCCTTACTTTCTAGGAGGAAAAAAGTGAGTGTTATGGTGCAAAAAATACGGTAGTTCTAAACCTCTGCTGTCTTGCAGCTATAGAAAGGCTTCGGGAATAAACCCCAAGGAAGATCCGTACCTGCTGCCTCGCAGGACATCTTCAGAAAAAGATCTGTATGAACCCCTGGGGAAACCTGATGCTCCAGATGATGTGCACTAACCTTCTGCTTCTTAATGTTTATCACCATCCTTATTTCATACTGTGTCATCCAAGTACATGGTGATGATACAGAATTGGATCCAGAGTTTGGATTTCAATTATGGAAGGGCTCCTTCCCTTCACAGAAGGGACTGAGATCCAGCAGAGGCTACTGTTGGATTAAGGGAGGGAGGAATTATACACTCATGGGAAATCTGGACCCAAGCTATAAAGTAAGCCTGGGAAAGCCGTGGCCCTCCTGTTGCCAGACTCCAGCTCCCATCAGCCCCATTCCACGCTCCGGGATGATGGGAGTTGTAGTCCAACATTTGGAGGTCTGCAGGATTCCCACTCGGGTGATAAAGGATGAACTTGCAACGCAGTAAGAAAGGATGGAACATTCAAGGCCTGGAAACTAGTATGATAATGATTTAGCAAGAAGAAAGCCAATTCTAACAAGGCAGGTTGTGTCTAGGAGAGGCACAAAAGAGTGAAAAGACGGTTATCAGGGTGGGTAAAGGTAAAGGTAAACGTAAAGGGACCCCTGACCATTAGGTCCGGTCGTGGCCGACTCTGGGGTTGCGGCGCTCATCTCGCTTTATTGGCCGAGGGAGCTGGTGTACAGCTTCCGGGTCATGTGGCCAGCATGACTAAGTCTGTTCTGGCGAACCAGAGCAGCGCACGGAAACGCCGTTTACCTTCCCGCCGGAGCGGTACCTATTTATCTACTTGCACTTTGACGTGCTTTCGAACTGCTAGGTTGGCAGGAGCAGGGACCGAGCAACGGGAGCTCACCCCGTCATGTGGATTTGAACCGCGACCTTCCGATCGGCAAGCCCTAAGCTCTGTGGTTTAACCCACAGCGCCACCCGCGTCCCATATCAGGGTGGGTGCATCAGAGGTAAGAAGAGTCGCCCAGTGAGCTCCAATGGCTGAGTGGGGATTCGGATCCTGATCTCCCAGGTCATAGTCCAACATGCTAACCATTAACACCACACTGGCCCTGGGATGTTGGATGATATCCAATGATTTAGCTGGATATCACACATTTTGTGTAGCTGTGCAAGCAATAATATATCAGAAAGGCTGTCTTGTAGGCCTACTTCTAACAATTAGTGCACTGGGAGGCAAGATTTTTGACCTAGTTTATTTAGATAAGATTGGAAGGCTTGCAATGATGGAGCCATAGAAACAACAGCTTATGCCATAATGAACATGCTTGTCTTTTTAGGTGCCACAAGACTGTGTTGCTGCTGATTTCCTGGTTCCATTCTTATGTAGCAAACCACAATTCCTTTCCTCGGTCTACTGGCGGCCTCTTGTGGCATCTCTTTCAGATGTCCTCCCCCTCTACTTTTCTTCACTTTGGGTGCTTCCAATCTGCCAGGATACTGAGCCTTCATCCCAAATTGCGTTGAGGCTGCTGTTACTGACATTATTTTTTTGTATCTTTATTTTTATGTGGAAATTGTTCAGTTTGGTTATGTAGTTTTTGATGTGTTTTATATATATTCTTATGACAACTTTGCAATGTTTGTAATTATGTAAATCTTTTCATATTGTAATCCGCCTTGAGTATTGTTTTAACTGTAGAAAAGCGACATACAAATAATCAATCAATCAATCAATCAATCTTTATTACAGTCCAGAGACCCAACAAATCATTACAAAGCAATGGATGGACAGCAATCCATCCATCCACAAAGCAATTCAGACAGCCTACCTCCAGGTTAAACAAGCATTTTGTTCAGACTTAAAGATGGGGATCATTGGTTCTTCCAACCACCGATAAAAACTTTGCCACTGCTAATGTTCTAGTGTTAGTCCGGCTTTCCAATAGGAACCTGACATAGTGAGCCTCTGATTTTCCTGGGAAAGGTACCAGCAAGGGTAATATCAGTTCAGCCCTGGCTTGCTCGTATTTCGCACAGTGCAGCAAAATATGTTTTATAGAATCAATGTCTTGGGCACACGAGCAAAGTCTGTCCTGGTAGGGAACACCTCTCAACCTGCCATCCAACACTGCAGAAGGAAAAATGTTGTCTGGCTTTGGTGAATAACCTTCGGTAATTTGGTACTTTCAGGTTTTTAATGTAAGGTGTTAACTTCAAGACATGCCCATATTGTACTCCTACTGCCAACGGACTACAGACTGCGTGTGATAGAGATCGCAAGTCACTGTGTGTATTATCTCATAATCTTTGCTTTAACGTCTTTCGGGTGCCTTCATAACCCAGATAATAGAGTTGGGGGGGTGACAGACCAATAGAGATGGCTTTTCTAGCCATGGTTTTCTGCCAGTTGCTGACAAACTCATCATTGGTCAGGTGTTGATACAAACCCTTCCCTATATCAAACACTGCAATCCTGAGCCAATGTTTTAGGGCAGCCCGCCATGCTTTAGTTGAAATTGGGCATTCACCAGCTTCTAAGAGAAATATGGAGTTGGGGACACAGTTGGGTGCCTGCAGGCAGCAGAGGTCGTAGAAATTTTGCCTGAAAGCCGTCTAGCTTAGGCAGGTCCCCATTATGCCAGACATTTGCAGTGTACAGGAATTGGGAAACGGATTTTGCGTTGAAAACCCTTAAGGCTGCTGGAATATACTTGCCGCCCTTTGTGAAAAAGAATCTGAGTATGGCTAGCTTTGTGATCTCTGCCTTTTGAAGGGAGGTTTGCCAGTGGTGCTTCCAAGATCTTGTATGATGGAATGTGAGCCCTAGAAAACTGAAGTATTTAATCTGTTCAAGGTTATGGCCATTCAGCACCCATTTAAACCAGGAGAAGCTTCTTTCGAATACTAAAATTTTTGATTTTTCATAATCAATGGATAAGCCATTTTCAAAACAGTAATCAGAAAACTTCCTCAGCAGATATTTCAAACCCGGTCTGGAACATGAAATGATGGCCGCATCATCCACATATAACAACAAGGGGGTCCTTCTCATTCCTATTTTTGGAAGGTGTCCATCTGGGTCCATTAGGCTCGCTTCTAGGTTGCTTAAGAATAGGCAAAACAGTGGGGGGGGGGCATAATGCATCCCTGTCTCACCCCCCCCCCAGTCATCTTGATACTGTTCGATAACTGTCCCTGCCGACTACATCGGACCTGCAGTTTGGTTCCATTGTACAGGGCTTTTATAAGAAAGAGGAGTCGTTTGTCCTGCAATATCAGATTTAATTTGGGCCATAGCTGGGATCTGGGGATGCATACAAATAAAATGATTCTAGATTCAGGTAGGTAGTCGTATTGGTCTGATGCAGTCGAAATAAATAAAAAAATAAAAAAATTGTCCAGTAGCACCTTAGTTGGTCTCTAAGGTGCTACTGGACAATTTTTTTATTTATTTCAAATAAAATGATGATGATGATGATGATTAGACGCTGTTGGCTATTTATTGAGCATTCATCCTGATTTGCTTGCAGGAAGGTTTATTCATTTATTTAAATTGCATTTATATCCTACCTTTTTTCCTCCAAGGAGCTCTAGCTGGCGTACATGGTTCCCCTCCTCCTTGCCTATAAATTGCACCACAATGCCTCAAGAATGCCTCCCCCCATATGAACCGACCCAGACCCTGTAGCCATCATCAGAAGCATTCCTTTGTGTACCCAGAGGGCGGCCACATGAGAACAGGCCTTTTCTGAGGTGGCTCCCTGCTCTCCCCAGGAACTCATCTGGTGCCTTCATTAAATCTTTAAGCATCCTTAGGGAGGCAAACATCCCTTTTCTCCCAGGTCTTTGGTTAATTAAACAATCTACGAACTTTTAAACTGGGGCGAGGGGTAATTTTTTTTATTTTATTTTATGGAATATATTTTTGTGTTTTATACTGCAGTGATCAGAGGATGATCACTGTCATCCTCTGATGAAGGGCAGCATAGAAATTTGATAAATAATAGTAGTAATAGCAGTGCTTTTTTCTAAAAAAAATGTTTAGGGGTACTCTCATTTTCCTACTCATATTGAAATACTGCGCCTCAATGAGGCCAAACGTAAGGTTCACAAAATGTTTAGGGGTATGCGTACCCCTGCGTCTCCCCAGGAAAAAAAGGACTGAGTAATAGTACCCACAACAACCCTGTGAGGTAGACTGGGCTGAGAGGCAGTGACTGGCGCAAGACTTCATGCCCAAGTGGAGAATTTTGCAAATGGAATGATTTTTTAAAATGATGTTTTTCCCCATCCACTCATGTAGACATGGAGAAGTAACAGACTCAGCAGAAAAAAAAACCACAACAAAAGGCATTACTGTAATTCACGGGAGGGCTCCCGAAAAACGCTGCACGCTTACTCGGGAGTAAGCCTCACTTAGCACAATGGTGCCTGCTTGTGACTAAGAATGGCAGCAAAGCGAGGCCTCCTGTGCCCATTTGCTTTGACTGTAAGCTTTCCCTGGATTAAAATTCACAACCCAGCAAAAGCGGCATGGGGTGGAAAAAAGACTGCGCGACCCATTTTGCTCTCCGTCCCTACAGCAAGGCAAGCGCTGCTCGCTGCCCGTCCCCCCTTCCCCAGCTCTCAGCCTCCGCGACAGCGCAGCAGCGCTCTACAAAGCAGCCCCATTCGCACGCCCTTTGACGCAGGCGCGCTAGGTCCAGTAACTTAAGCGAGAGACCCCCGCCTCCGAAGCGTAGAGCTTTTGATCCTATTGGCTATCAATCGTTCCAAACCGCCCCGCCCACTCCCCGCGCCAACTCTGATTCTTCCCCCGCCCTCTCTTCTCCCGAGTGCTCCTTTACGTCTCTTCCATGACCGATCAGCCCATTGGGCCGCCGGCCTACGCGCGGGGCGGAGCTCCTGACGACTTCGCGCATCCGCCATTGGCCAGAACGGAAGATACGGGGCTCCATCATTGGCCGGCGGAAGTTCTGTCCGGTTGTCTCCCTCCCCGTCCCCCCGTGCATCGTTCTGTGTGTTGTCCCGAGAAGAAAGGCACGTGCGGGAGGCATGTGGCGCCTGGTTCGCTGCAGGATAGTTGTCGGTAGGTTTCCCCGTCGCAGGGCTCCGTCGAAGAAACCCTCGTGGCAGCCTTGGCCGGCTCCTGTGCGTATCCAATGCAGATTTCGTAGGTTGACTTCAATGCTGGCTCCACTTAACTTGCGGGAAAATTCATTCATTCATTCATTTTTATTGAATTTATATACCGGGCGGATTTAGGTTTGATGAGGCCCTAAGCTACTGAAGGTAATGGGGCCCGTTATATGTCCAGCTGTCCTTTGTCAACAACAAATTGTCGCTGTTTTTTGTGTTGAATATATGCTTTATGGTAATTTATGGACCTCATAGGTATCTAAAGCCATTTTATGTATTTTATCAAAGTAATTGTTGAACCGAAATACAATTATGAAGAAGTATATTAATAGTGATTTTTGGGGTGGGGGGCCAAGAGAGTGGGGCCCTAATTTGTGGAATTTCCAGTGTAAGACTTGATGTGCATTAAGTGTCTATTTCTTCTTTTAGACATCAGCTTACCAAAATGACTGAATTTGGAGAGGGCAACAAGCCATCTTCCTATAAAAGAATAGTTCTCAAGAATGCTTCTGAATACCACTATCTAAAGATCCATTTGTAAGTTCATGCCTTTTTCCCCTTTTGCCCCTTCACCTTGGAAGGATTTTGTGCAGCGTATTCTTTTGTTGATCAATAGGGTTTTCTAATAAGACTTATTGCTAACTTACATTTCAGGGAGTTTCAGGAAGCTGACTTTAGCCTAAATGCTGTTGAATTCAAACAACTTATCATCTCTGCTCTGAAACGGCTGCATGGTGAGGTATGTTTGTTGTTTATGTTGACTGTCATTATTTGGAGATGGCATTTCTTCAGCTTCCAAATTATGTATATGTAAATATCCCCTTGTTTATTTGGATCCACTGCATAGAGGAAAGATGGCTTCTGAAGGAGTACAACTATGCACTGTTTGTCTTTATGCTTTTAAAACTAGGGGAGAACAGCCAGCTGTTTCTCCCAACTTAAAAAGGTGAAACATTGTGGTCCTAACAAGAGAAGACTATGAAGTGATATAAAATATGAGTATTCAGCAACTTCATTTTGCAAAGTCTCTTTCTGCTTCTTAGTAACAACGTAATATCTTTTCTTTTTAGGTTGGTGCCGCTTTGCTTGTCGATGTGCTGACCTATGAGGAAGAAACATTGTCTGCAGTACTCAGAGTACCTAATGCGTAAGGAACTCTGAATATACATCTTTAGCAAGCGCTATTGGGTGAAAACAAGGCTCTCTAAAATGAAGGGGATGCTCTTTGTGTTTAAAGAAGATGTCACAAGTTTGGTTGGTACTGTACAGGCAACTCCTCATTTACACAGGGTTGGGTTCTGAGGAACTGTGCAAAGCCTGTCCCCCTCACCCTCTTCTGGTGCCGAAAACGGTGCTTGCTTCCATGGTTGTGCTTGTGCCAATCATGCACAAATGGGGAGTTGCCTGTATATAGCATTGTTGTTGCTTGAGTGTAGGAGTGTTACTTAATGGTGGTGAAGGTGTAATTTCCTCGTCTTTCCCCCAAGGTCAGGCTTGGAAAAATACTTCCAATTTCAAGATGCCAGTACAGTAGTACCTTGGTTCTCAAATGCTTTGGTATAGAAACAACTTGGAACCCAAATACTTCAAACCCGGAAGTAAGTGTTCCGGTTTGCAAACCTTTTTCAGAAGCTGAACGTGCTCCGTTTTCAGTGTTACTCTTCCGATTTGAGAGCCACACCTCCATTTTGAGTGTCACGCTGAGGTCTGTCTGTTTTTGCAGCTCTTTTTGATTTGTTTTTGTGACTGTGTGGAACCCAGTTTAACGATTGATTGATTGATTGATTGTGTGACTGCCGTACATTGTTTATTGCTTTCATTTTATGGATCAATGGTCTTGTTAGATAGTAAAATTCATGTTAAATTGCTGTTTTAGGGGTTGTTTTTAAAAGTCTGGAACAGATTAATCCATTTTACATTACTTTCTATGGGAAAGCTTGCCTTGGTTTTGGAACGCTTTGGTTTTGTGGATCTTTCTTCTCAATGAATGAGACTGAAATCTTAATATTTGTCCTTAGCCTTTTTTGTCATGTTGTGTTGGCACTTGTTTTATGTGAGCAAGAATGTCTCTAATTCTGTCGTTTGAACAGTGGCCTCGCAAAGCTGTGGAGTGCTCTGACGCTGTTTGGTTCATATCAGAACAGAAAGTGTGCTTTTAGGGTGATACAGGTAAGAGTTAAGATGCAAACAATCTGATCCCAGGTTATAAAGCTGCCTAACAGAATGGTCATTTTTTTCAGGATTTACATTTACATTTACAAGCTGTACGCCGGCTTCCTTGGCCAATAAAGCGAGATGAGCACCGCAACCCCAGAGTCGGCCACGACTGGACCTAATGGTCAGGGGTCCCTTTACCTTTACCCATGTCCCTTTGAGTGCAATGGTGGTTACTCCCAGATGGATAAAAAATTGCTGCCAAAAGATGTTATGTGCTAACCAGTCACAGAAGTCTTATTTCAGTAATGGTTTGTAGTACACGCAAAGCAAATTGTAGTAAATTGGTCTTATTTTCTGAATTTCTCTTGAAAAACCAAAGGTAGCTTACAATAAATACCTCAAGTAAGGAATTTGAAACCCATATGGTTGCTTTTTCATAGCGAAGAGATTAAAATTCATTTTAAGTCCCACACCTGCTTTGATTTTCCTCTGCAGTTAATAGTCCCAGCTAGCTAAAACACTTTCTGGATGGATGGAGTAATCAGTGAGGTATTTGGATCATTGGTTAATACTAATCGATCAGAATTCTCCATCACACTACTTGGCTAGCCACACTTCAGTCTCCTCATTATAACTGGCTGATCAAAGTTTATTCCTTAATTCCATTGTTTATCAAATATTCTTGGTTGTTGCCCTGGAGCTTCCAGATTGCGGAAATCTATGTACCATACTGTACTGTGGTATTCATGCTGGTAAAAGACCAATTCTTTTCAATATGGGATTGTTTAGAAAAGTAAGCTATTCTGTGTGTTCTGAGGAGGTGGCTTTCCCCCATCATATATATTTTTTTGTCCTTGCAGGTGCCTAGTGCTGAAAGGTGGAACAGAAATTTAAATAACAAATGCATAAAAAAAGCCTTGTCAAACTTGCTTAGAAGCTGCTCACTCTGAATGTTCACTTCTGTGGCTACTGATTTGCTGATATATCATGTTGTGGTTTTATTCTGAATACCAAATAATTATGTAGGCTGTCATCAGCATGTAAAAGTGACTGTTGGTGGCTACAGAACTGAGTGTTCCTGCCCTCCCACTGTCATTGAAATGCCCACTTCACCCTCACCTCCTAGGCTTATACCGTATTTTTTGCTCTATAAGGCTCACTTTTTCCCTCCTAAAAAGTAGGGAAATGTGTGTGTGTCTTATGGAGCGAGTGCAGGCTGCGCAGCTATCCCAGAAGCCAGAACAGCAAGAGGGATTGCTGCTTTCACTGCACAGCGATCCCTCTTGCTGTTCTGGCTTCTGAGATTCAGAATATTTTTTTTCTTGTTTACCTCGTCCAAAAACTAGGTGTGTCTTGTGGTCTTATAGAGCAAAAAATACGGTATTTTATTAAATCTGGTTTCCAAGAAGATTAATCAACTTCCATTCTGTTGGCACAAGTTACTCACATTTTGCTTTCTGCAGGAGGAATTTTCCTGTTCTTGTTTTGAAATTCATGTTCCTGTTTGTTCCTCTTCCTAGACTTCTCCGTTTCTTCTTGCGTTAGCTGGGAACAGCAGAGAACTGGTGCTGGATTAAATAAACCGAAAAGGCAACTTGACTCGAGCTTGTGAAAAGCCAGAGCTGTCTTAAGATGCAGGTAGCGTGGCTGAAATGCAGATTTCTATGTGCGAGACTCCAGCGAACTTTCCCAGCACGGCCAGATGTTGCCATTCCACTTGCTCAACCCTCTATTCATCATTTGCACATACAAGTGGGAGACAAGGCAGAATTAACCAAGACATTTACGCAGGACGATGTTGTTACCTTTTCGAAGTTAACGGGAGACACAAACCCATTGCATCTGGACGAAGACTATGCAGAGAGCTCAAGATTTGGCAGGAGAGTTGTCCATGGTGTTCTGATCAACGGGCTCATCTCTGCTGTTCTGGGCACTAAGATGCCTGGGCGTGGCTGCGTTTTTCTTTCTCAGGAAATTCATTTCCCATCCCCGTTATATGTTGGAGAAGAGGTCTTAGCTGCAGCAGAAGTGAAGAAACTGAAGAGATGTCTTGCTTATATTTCCGTCTCCTGTACTGTTGTAGAAAGTGGCAAAACAGTGATGGAAGGCACTGTTAAAGTCATGGTGCCAGAGGATCAGAAATCTCAGATCTGACTCCAAGTTGCAGTATATTATTGTAGCTGAAGCCATGAATAGTTTGCGTGGACATACATTTAAATACTTTTCAAGACAATGCCAACTGCGTACATTAATGCAACTGCTTAATGATACACAGAGTACATCTTATACTTATCTATATCTGTAATTGTTGGTGTTTTGTTTTATCCCACCATGGCTCAGAACAGAGAGCTAAATGCAGATTTCCTGCACCAGTGCATCATTCCCACCTACATTTCCGTGGTTTGTGAACGTGGTTGGTTTGGATTCCTTTGGACCGTTTGTTGTTCAGAACGGGCTTTTCCTGGTAATGGGTTCATAAACTTTAATAAAGCACAGATCCCATTATAAAAAATTTCATTCTCTTGTATTCCAATGCATAGTTTGGTGGGTTCCTCCCCCCCCCCCATAAGAATAATGCTTATAAATGGTCTGTTGCTACCTATTCCCTTCATGCCCAAAGCAAAATGCAGGATCCCTTTTCCCCATATATATTCACTCGACCCTTTGATTCACCGAATTGGCACTCCGACAGGTGCTACCTAATACTTGTTCTGCGCTTGTAAGAAATGGGTATTTTAGTGCAGGCGGCACCTACTCGTTGGAACTCCCCGCCTGTTGACATTTGACAGGTGCCTTCGCTGACCTCTTTGTGCTGCCTGTTGCTTGTTTTTAGACGAGCCTGACCACACATGCACAAGTTACATAATAATAATAATAATAATAAATTATTTATTTTTTGTACCCCGCCCATCTGGCTGGGTTTCCCCAGCCACTCTGGGTGGCTTCCACAGAGACCAAAAATACACTAAAATGTCACAGATTAAAAACTTCCCTGAACAGGGCTGCCTTAAGATGTCTTCTGAATGTCAGGTAGTTGTTTATCGCTTTGACATCTGATGGGAGGGCGTTCCACAGGGCAGGCGCCACTACCGAGAAGGCCCTCTGCCTGGTTCCCTGTAGCTTTGCTTCTCGCAATGAGGGAACCCCCAGAAGGCCCTCGGCGCTGGACCTCAGCGTCAGGGCTGAACGATGGGGGTGGAGACGCTCCTTCAGGTATACGGGACTGAGGCCGTTTAGGGCTTTAAAGGTCAACACCAACACTTTGAATTGTGCTCAGAAACGTACATGTGTTGGATTTCTTTTTACGTATTGCTGATTAAATGATTATTTTTTAAAGATCTGTTTTTCAGAAGTACACATGCCTTCGTGGGCAACAAGTACTATTGGAATTGTTCTGGCCTACAGAAAAATGGCTGTTGTTGGTTTCCCTGTGGTTCTCTCCAGGGCTTTTTCTCAGCAAGAACTTGCCAGAGCTCAGCTCCAGCACCTCTCTGGTGGGTGCCATTGCTATGATAAGAGAATGAGGGAGACGTTCATAGTAAGTGATGGGAAAGGGGCATAGCTGGGGGGGCAAGTGGCAAGCTGCTTCCCCCAACCAAGTACATAAATAAAAAATAATTAAGTGACCAATCATGTCGCAAATAGCTCAGTTCCTCCCCAATAAATCCCCCCCCCCACATAAATCCTGGCCATGCACACGGGAGTGCAGCAAGAACTTCACTCAAAGCTCTTGCACCAACAAATTCACAGGGCACGAACCTATAGTTGCTTCAAGTGTGGGAAAAGCTTCAGTCAGAGTGGCAAACTTACTTCGCATCGAAGAATTCATACAGGGCACAAACCTAAGAAAGGGTTGGAGTGTCGAAAGATCTTCAGTCATATCAAAGCTCCAGCAGAGAGCAAACCAAAGATTGTGCTCATCGTTTGAATCCGCTTCTTTTTCTTTGTTTCATTTGATTTTTTGCTTCACTCCAGTTTGTCATAATAGGCTTTTGCTTGTTTTGAGGGCCTTTGTTTCAAGAGCGCTTGAACTTTGCCTGTTGCATCGTCGTGCCTGGGTGGCTCAATGGACATCCAATCTCAGTGTGTGAATTTTTTTGGTTTTGCTTTATGTATCATAAGTTGCTTTCAGTTTCCCTGGTAAAAAATTAGCTGGTAAATTTAATAAAATACGCAAATCTATTAAAAAATTTAAAAATGCTTAAACACCCAATTAAGCAGATAAAATCAGTAAAACCTAGGAAGCATTTTTTTTCCCTTTTAAAAGAAATTGCCTTTTAGTAAAAGCAACAACCCCTAAATCATATGACTGGGTGGGCTTGCCAAAACAAGTTTCAGCTGATGTGTAAAATAATAGTGAGTGGTTTCCTTTTTTTAGAGTTTGGCTTGCAATACACAGCAGGCTCAGTGCCTACATTTTTTTTATTTTTTTAAAAATCGCTTGTTTCAAGCTACTCTGCTAAGTTCAAGATGACTCTGGTTACATGCTCCTAGGTTCTCCATATCCTGGAGCTGTCTTATCTTTCTCCTGCATGGCCCTCTGGTCAAAACCAGCACTTGTGTGTGAGTGAGAGAGACAACTTGAGTTATTGTCTCGCCTCTTCTTTTCATTTGTGGGATCTTCTCCCCCTGTGTTGGTAATGACAACCATCTCTTCCCATCCCTGGACCCATAAGAGTTGGGGTCAAGGCAGAGCTGCCTGTTCATAATTTAAATGCTTGTTAATTCCAGGGAGGGTAGAATTTATAAGTTAACACCTTCCTGTAGAAATCAGTTCCTTCCAGAATATTTATGGGTAATTCAGGTTGTTAACTAAACAGGATGAATATAGAGAAGTGCTAGTTTCCTGGACGACTGACCATATCAAATACGGCAAACTAGTTTTGCTGCCTGCCAAAATGGAATTTGGATATTTTTAAACTGACAAGCGCCAATGTTAAGCTGGCCATTATTAACTCGGGTTCATTAAATGCATTACCATTATTTACAAAGCATAATGTGTACTCTTCCTAAGATGTGTGGGATGCTTTGGGCTTTAGCCATAAAGCTAGGGCATGTGGAAAACATTACGTCCTGAGATCACAACTTTCACAAAAAGATGTTTGAGTGGAAAACATTATCTTCCCCTGAAACAATTCCATTCCATTGTTCTCTTTTTGAAACACTATATTCTTAAAAGTTGTAGAGCTAGCATTCATTAAAATGGCGGCCTTAAATGGTTTGCGTTTCCTCAGCGATGTTTGTAGGATTGTGGCCTGGGGCAAAAGACGGGAATTTAAAACATAAGCTGCCCAGCACGACTGAAAAATCTGCATTCCTAGTTAATTTGGTCAGTATGTCAACTTAGGTTTTAAATGGCTGCAAAACACAACTCCTCCTCCTTGAGGAGAAATTTGTTTCACATACTGTGGTTCAACCAGTAAGAGGTATTGCTTTTTAGACCAGTTATCTAGGGAGTAACGGAGGGAGGAATTCTGTTTGCCAGATTTCATCGGATCTGTGCAATGGTGTGTTGGTGAAGTACAAGGATACATTAAAATTATGCTTCATGGCATTACGGATCACTCCCCAGAGCATCTTTTAAAGATTTTGATCAAAGCTGTGTGGATGTCTACTATGCACACTTCAAAGTTATTGTGGCACGGGGCTCCTTGCGTCCTGTTTACCTCGGAATAGCCTCTTTCATTTTTGTGCGTAAAAAGAATAGTGAATGAAAGAGCGAGAAGGAAAGGACCATGTAGTCTGGCCTGACATAAGCATGTTTCACTTTTCCCAGCTGAAAAGAGGGTGACCCTTTGTAAAGTAGTCAGTTGATTCATCTCAGTAGAGAGCTACCCTCTCAGAGCAGCTTTGGTTAGCTGGAGACTGAGAGAGAAACAAAAATAGTAATAAAATAAAAGGTGCTTCCCACACCTTCCTGCATAAACTTTGTTTAAATAAATAATGTATGGAGTAGAACCTTTGCATCTCGCCCTATTTTTGAGAGGTGTCAATTGCCCTCCGTTGCCTGACTGCAGTAAGAGATGCAAAGTGTCACTCCGTATGACCTAATAAAAGAAAACTGCTCTTAGGCACATGCTTAATGCTCTTGAGTGCTTGTCACATGGCAGACTTGGAGGATTGACTGCCTAAGCCAGGCTTCCTCAAACTCGGGCCCTCCCGATGGTTTTGGCCTACAACTCCCATGATCTCTAGCTAGGAGGAGCAGTGGTCAGGGATGATGGGCACTGTAGTCTTAAAACATCAGGAGGGCCGAGTTTGAGGAAGCCTGGCCTAAGCCATGGGTAGCTAAGGTGTGGTGCCTTCCAGATACTGCTAGATTACAATGCCCATCAGCCCTAGCCAACGTGATGGGAGTTGTAGTCCACAGTCGTCTGGAGGGCACCATGTAAGCTACCCCCAATCCAGGGCTACAGCCTGATCTGTGGAGAGTACAGTGGTTACATACGCTTCAGGCTATATACACTTCAGGTTACAGACTCCGCTAACCCAGAAATAGTGCTTCAGGTTAAGAACTTTGCTTCAGGATGAGAATAGAAATCGTGCTCTGGTGGCGCGGCAGCAGCAGGAGGCCCCATTAGCTAAAGTGGTGCTTCAGGTTAAGAACAGTTTCAGGTTAAGTACGGACCTCCAGAACGAATTAAGTATTTAACCCGAGGTACCACTGTACTTGGGAGAGGCAGCCCATTTCATGCAAAGGCAATTTGTGTTTGTGGCTTGAGAAAAGCAGCAGGCCCCTTTGCCAGGCGGAAGCTACATCACTGGGGTGAGGGTTAGAGGTGTTCTGTCAAGGCTTAGATGAGGGCAAGAAACACAGTTAGGAGGATAACATTTCACTGGGGGTGGTGGTGATTAAATCCCACTACTGTACTTTTCCTCCAAGGAGCTTCAGGTGCTATACATGGCTGCCCACTGTGCTACCCTCACAACAACCCTGGTGAGGTAGGTTAGGTGGAAAAACGGTAAGCGGTTCAAGGTCACCCAATGAGCTTCATGGCTGAGTGGTGATTTGAACTCTTGTCTTGCAGGTCCTAGCCCAACCCTCTAACCCAGGGGTCATCAAACTTTTTCAGCAGGGGGCCGGTCCACTGTCCCTCAGACCTTGTGGGGGGCCAGACTATATTTTTTTTTGGGGGGGGAATTCCTATGCCCCA